TTGAGTTATCGTTGACCATAGGCAGACACTGAAATGCATAGTGAAATTGCCAAAATCTACCTAATTTGCATAATTTTTTTTTAAATATAAAAACCCGTAGGATGTGTTTTGGGGCCAGTCCTTATTCATTCACATACCAAAAATGAGCAAAATCCGTTGAACCTGAACTGACTGTCAGTGTCACTTATGGCCATTTCCATTTTTGCCAAAAAGTGGGCGTGGCTCGAAAGTAGGACGTTCAAATCTCTCCCATAGGAGTAACAACTGTATGAAATTTGATACATGTGGGTCAAATGGTTCTCAAGATATCATTGACCGTAGCCAAATGTTGACCGACGAACGGACGGACGACGCCCCATGGCAATAGCTCATCTTGACGATGTCAATGTGAGCTAAAAACGAATCCGTATAAGCCATCGTGGAGTAGATCACAGATAAGCTAAATTAAAATGGGTTTCTCTGATTTTTGTTTGATGTAAATGCGAATTAGCCATTAATCTCTGGGTGTATTCACATGGTTGCACTAAAACGTTATTAAGATTTAGTTATCAGGGAAAGATAACGAATAATACTAATACTAGTAATAGGGGTGTACATGTATACAAGTACCCGCCAGCTTGAATTTTTGCTAATAAAAAAATGAACACTGAAAGGTTTGGCCCAACTGTACGTGAAAACTGGTTCCAATTACTACACAACAATGTGATATATACACCGTAAAATGTCAGGGAGAAACGGTGTGTTTGCATTGTCACTCGGTGGTCTGCAATTACACTCTGTGTGCAGACGTGGGAAATGCGGCAAATACGCGCAGACAACTGACAGACATACCTAATACTAATTTTACACTTTACTATTTGTTTACTCGAAAACATCCAATGCTGATTGTAGAATCGACACCAATCTGTGTCGTCAAAAAAACGTTTTTTTTAATAATCTATGTTTTCTATCACATTTATGTACTATATATCTGCAAATATCTTAATATCAGATTGAGTATAACCTAAAGCAACTAACACGATGATTCTGCCTATTTGTGCCACAGTTAAATTAAAACTAGGTTGGCATTCATTATCTATTTTAATTCAGTTTGATTTGATCGTAACTTTGGAAGGTACGTTTCACAGCAACACAGATTCCACCAACGGCTACACTAACTACCACTTTCCTACCTGCAGGCTACATCATATCTGATCATATCAGAAAATTCCTGTGAGTATGAATAAAGGCACAGCAAATGATGCGTCAGTGAGTTAATGTTACACTGATCTGCTGACACTATCACTGCATGGCTCTTCATTTCATGAATTAAAACATGAAGACCACCAAAAAACACAACTTGTTCTTTAACCCATTCGATTCACACTCGGGCTGCATTTTATACTCTGTAAAATCTCTAACAGTATCAATGTATGGTAAGTAGAGGCTTGGTATGCAAGCATCATGAAAATCACTCAACTCGTGTGCATCCACAACCTCAGCCTTTATCCCTAATCAGCTTCGCTCCAGTATTATAATTGATGGTACGTATTATAATACTGTAGTTTTCGCACGTGCCTATATGTCTTAACAAGAATGTTATAATAGATCTGTCGTTCCTTTCTTCCTTTCTTCGGAAATTGCGAGTTCTGGAGAGAGACTGTACATAGCAACCTTACCACGTGGAACGTGGCACACAGCACACATGAATGCAGGCGCACATGCACACACGCACGCACACACACATGCACGCACATACACATGCACGCACATACACACACCCATTCGCACATGAATGTGCACGCACGCACACACACACACACATACACACACACGCACGCACGCACGCACGCACACACACACACACACACACATTCGCACATGTGCACACACGTATATATACACATACACGCACACGCATGCACGCACGCACGCACACACACACACACACACACACACTCACGCAGGCACCCCTGAGAGAGAATCATTTACCATTTTTTGCCGAAAAAGGTGGGCGTGGCTGCGAAGTAGCGACGTTCAGATCTGCTCCGCATAGGAGTAAATGGTATGAAATTTGTAGCAATGTTGGGGATCAATGGTTCTGCAAGATATCATTGACGCGTAAGCCAAATGGTTGACCGACGAACGGGACGAGCGGAGCCCCATGCAGATAGCGCGTCTAGTCTTGACGATGTCAATGTGAGCTACAACGAAGTCGCGTATCCATAGCGTGGGTTAGGATCACAGATAAGCTAAATTAGAAATGGGTTGATCTCTGATTTTTGTTTGATGTAAATGGAATTACCATGTAACT